TCGCCGACGGCAAACAAATATCTAGCATGCCAAAGATCTGGACCGTGGTGTCACGTGGTGTCAGGTGTCGTGACGAGCTACAGCCAATGAGAGAGCAAGGCATGGGTTGAGGTCACCGGAAAAACAACAGCAGCAACACGGCTTAAAGAAAAGTTTGGACAATAAATGGAGCAAAATTTTTCATTGAGCAAACAGCTTGCAGCGCTAATTTATTCCCGACATCCATTTTCAAATAAACAACTCCTGTTTCACATGTTGTTTCGCGTCATTCCCGTTCCAGTTCTTGCTGAACAAAGCAAGACGTTTTCGTGACAAAACGTGGTTTGTAGAGTCGTTGGGTGACAGAGTTGTCAGCTTGTGTAGTGTGTACATACATATCCAGCCCAGATGGTGGATCAGCACCTAGAGAGGCGGAGCTATCAAAATAGGGGCGAGACCCTTTTGGGGTAGGGGCGTGTTTGTTTTGGTGATTTGAAATATCAACATTGGCTACCAGAAATCACTTACCCCACCTTTAAGTGCCACAGAATAAACGTTTTATTTTTGAAACGCTTTAACATTTTAGTCATACTGTATTGTGTCTCCCCTCCTTTTACAGCATCAGCATTTTAATCCATCTTGTAGATGTCCTGGGAACTAATGTTCATTTAAAGTGGGAACTAAATGTTTTTTTAACTTGAGAACTATATACAGTCACAAAGAATTGTTTATTACACAGAACATTACTGGCCCCCCGACTGAGCCTGGTTTCTGCCAAGGTTTTTTCTCCATTCTGTCACCGATGGAGTTTTGGTTCCTTGCCGCTGTCGCCTCTGGCTTGCTTAGTTGGGGACACTTCATTTCCAGCGATATTGTTGACTTGATTGCAAAGATACTATTTAAACTGAACTGATGATGACATCACTGAATTCAATGATGAACTGCCTTTAACTGAAATTTGAGTGTTTACTATTGTCATTCTGCATTATTGACACACTATTTTCCTAATTAATGCTGTCCAGTTGCTTTGACACAATCTGTATTGTTAAAAGCGCTATATAAATAAAGGTGACTTGACTTGACTTTTGTGACCCCCTGTTGCGGATCATTTGCATAGAGTCACGTAGTGTGAACACCACAATGACTAAAAGACAGACAATCAAGTCATGTAGTCTGAACAGCAGAGCGATCTGAGAACTATATACAGTCACAAAGAATTGTTTATTACACAGAATCTGTGCCAATATCATGGATTATTTCAGCATCACTTGGCCATTGAGTGTAGTTTGGGCTCTTAATCAATGCATCCTATAAATGTTGTCATACATCTTGCACACATCCAGTCTGTTCGTTCATTAGTATCATGCAGTTATAAAGGAGGTGTTGAATTTTATCATTCGCTCCTTGCATTCTTTCTTATATTTTTACTTAACCTACCCGTCTACATGAATATGCTATATAGCGCATATATTAAGCAAAATGCTTTATTTTTTCAAGCTGACTAATGAGCTTATGGACGCCGAATGGTTATTCTGAGGTAAATGTATTGTTATGTGGAATTGTTAACAAGCTTTACATGTTTTCCGCAGTTTGAAACACTGAATGAGCGATTAACATGAGACATTTCAGTAAGATGTACTGTATCTTATAATATACCTTTTGGTGTCCATTCATGTTTATTTTGTACTATAGTGGTAAAGAGAAAGATTTGACGGGTTCACCTGCGGCGCTAAAGCGAGCGCTCATGCCACATTTAAAGAGCGCCAATAAGGTATTTATTATTTGAATTTTGTGAATTTAAGCAGAATTTTAAAGGTGATACTTAGTTTATTAAAAGGTCACAGAGCACAACGCTTATTGCAATTACTGGATGGCAAGTGCGCAACAAATATATGAAGTTCACGGATTAACAGAACACAGCATATAGACTAAAGATATTGACAATAAGAAACCATGTTTGTATCGATTATAAACGAGAATCGTTAACGATACTGTTAATGTCCACACAGTGTTGTAGTTTGTTCACATTCTGTGCATGAAATAAGACACTGCTTTCCTGCGCTTACGTCAGTGTTCATTCACACATCATTTTTCATTAGCAGGTGTGCCGTCAACGCTGGCGTTCGGCGGAGATGAGGATCGTTTTTCCACTAAAACTTTGATGCGCATCATCTCAGTTTATTACGTCAACCTAACAAAAGATGTGATCGCAAAACAAGCAGGAAAAAAATGTTTAAATCATAAATTGTAAATTTATATTGTCGCCAGTGGCGATCTCAGCAAAAATATCACTCGCAAATTAATATTTTGTGTCGTAAATGCTAATGTTTTAGGCACAGTCTGGAGCCCCGTAAAATGGATGTCTTCTGACAAGATAAACTAATCTAACATTTTTGGTAAGCAGGATATGGCCACAATTTAAAACAGCACATTCTTCAAAATGCCTTCTTTTGTGTTCCAAAGCATGATAGTGATTAAATGATTTCCTTCCTTTTCCCCTTCATTTTCATGACAATGTAATCATCTGTGTTATGATTTCTACCACAGATCGGAGCTACACTGAAATAGACTTACCTTGAGAGGCGGGTCACCTGGTGGGGCAGCAGGCTTTGTCTCAGTTTTGGGTTCAGAGAGAGACTTCATGGCCGCCGCTGCATGCCGCACAATACACTGATGACTGCAGTACACTGACTCTGGCAGAGAGTCATTGCTGCAGCCTGGACCAATGCATTTAGGTAAAGCTGCCTTCTCCTCTGCCTTCATCCCATCCTCCACCAGCTGCTCAATCCCCACCTGAGACACAACTCACAGATTAGATCAAGTAACAGTGAGAAAATCCATGCGCAGTTTAGAATCTTAAGTGTGTTGGTATCAGATTGACCAAGTTTGGTGACGACTGCATAAAAACCCTAGGAGGAGTAGGGGCAGGCAATCTGCCGATTCTGTATCATTATCTATCTTATAGGCATCCACAATGTAGTTTTCAAATTAATTGTACAGATTGTTGTCTTATGTCCTATGAAATTGTCCTATTTTTTTCTGTATATAAATAAATCCACACTGCTTTCAGATTTTTTGAAGTTGTTAACAACTGAGAGCGATGAAGAAACACGGATAAATCCAAGAGTAAAGAATGGGAAGTGCTTGATATTAAAAGAAGTTAATAAAAATCAAAAAACCACAAAAGAAAAAAACATCCATAACCCTTGAATTGCTCTAAAACTAGACTAAATACTTAAGTTTTCTTGGACTAAGATAAGACCAAAATGCTCAGACTTTGTCAACTTAAACTTGACCAAAAAACAGGATAATGTTGACTAAACGTGATGAAAGGAGATTTGACACAAGACAAACACTAAAAGACTAAATTAACACTAATACAAATATTCAATAAATCAAAATGTCACACATTTTTTGCTGTTTGTCACATGCAGTAGACCATTTTTGTGTCAGCAGGTAATGCCACCCTTTTCCACTAGTTACTACCATACTTCAGATTTGTGAGGAACTGTAGAATCAGATCTGTATCGTCATATTGCCAAGTGCTAACCTCCACTAGGGATGCACTGTTGTGACGCTCCGATCAATATTCTGCTCTAGGAATGTGCGGAACGCTCATGCTCACCGGAAAAGCAAAGTCCGCTCAAATAACCTGCCAACAGGAACTAAACAGGTAGTATACTTGATCGTATTTGCAGTAGTGCTACTGTGCTGTAACATGCTGAAGTACAGCTAGTACAGTAGTACAGCTAGTGGGCAACGCTGGTTAAATGACGCTCCCCTATTGTGACGCAATGCTCTGCTCACATGCTCTGATAATAATAGCTTCGTAGGACTATACATTATTTGGATAAAATAAATTCAGTTAAATCTGATTCTGTTGCAAAGAACTGAATAAAAATAATATACTGATTTTTAATATGAATATATTTTCTGTCCAATTTTATTGTTTTACTTTCCACAAAAGTGTGGTTATTTTATTGGCTTGTATTTTATATTATTTAATACAATAATAAATAATTATTAAAAAGCATTTTCGGTTTCAGTTTTCGGTCAAGTGCATCCAGAATTTTCGGTTTCTGTCCAGATTTTTTATTTCGGTGCGTTCCTAATGTCCGGACCGTACAGAGAGGTATCGTTTCATGCCTGTATGCTTCTTTCGTCTGTGGGACACAACAGAAGATCATTCGTTCGTCCGCACAATGAAAGACTTTAAAATATGTTCTTATGTTTTCAACTGAACACAAAAGTCATACAGATTTGGAACGACATGTAAATTTATAATTTTCATTGTTGTGTGAAGTATTCCTTTAAATTTTGCCAAACACTACGCCTGCTTATTAAAGGTGAGAATTAAGCTGTTATTATAAATGCACTTTCCTTATAAGTTATTGATGGAGAACAGTACAGGATTCTTTTGTAGATGTGGCTAATCTTTTAGAAGTGCTTTGTATTACTACTGTGAAACAGAAATACTCTATAGCAGAGGTGTTCGACCCACTGTCCTGCAGAGTTCAGCTGCAACTCTAATCAAACACACCTGAAGCAGCTCATCAAGCTCTGCGGGACTGCTGGAAAATACACAAGCAAGTGTGCTGAAGCAGGCTGGAAATAACCTCTGCAGGACAGTGGGTCCCCCAGGAGCAGGGCTGAACACGGCTGAACACTGAACATGGTTTTCCTCATCAGGGTCTAGAGAATACACATCGTTCATATTCTGATATACTTAATGACTCAAAAGCAGATCATTAGAAAAAAGAAAATTACCACGATTGAGTCGATTTCATGTTTTTCACTGAGACCATTTGTCGTCCTGTTCTTGCTCGTGGCGTCTCGTTCGTCGGAGCATGAGGGACAAACATATTGTCTGTTCCTCTGCAGGAGAGGAGTACAAGCCTCTGCGATGCCGACACAGTCAACGTGACGCCACTTCTGGCAGGAGTCACAGCAGATCATCAACCTAACAGACAGAGCCGTTAGTTTGGTAGGGGATGAAAAATCTTACCAATATGAATATGCATTACCATTTCAATCAATTCACAAAGAAGCTTAATGAATAAAGAAAACAGATTTAACATCGTATAATCTCTTGAATAAGAGATCAACACTCTCCAAAATCAAAGAAGATGTTGAGTGAGAAACAGAACAAAACTGAAATCCACAATCAATGTTCTCACCTGGCTCATCACAGAAACTAACCACAGTTTGATACAACAATACACAAGTCTATTAGCACTAACTCAATTGAATGCACGTAAAATAATAATGCGGGTTGCAAGGTATAGTTTAAGTGGTTAAGAGGTTAAGTTTAAGAGTTTACACAATAGCATTACCAGTAACAACATAAACACCCTCCCTTCTCCGTGACTCACATGTTCCCCTCATTACCGCTCTGGGACAGTGCTGCCACATGAGTGTTGGAAGCAGAAACTGTATTTTGACTGTGCTCTGAAGAGTGTATGATAAAAATCATCACATATAAATCTTGTTCTAAATTCAAAAGTAACCATGTTCCAAAAGTAACATGTTTGATGTATTTACTGGACTGTACTGAGACTAGTTTATTCTGTAAACTGTACGGACTGTAACACGCTTTTACATGGGTTTTCATATCACCCTGTTCTAGCGCTGCAACAAACGATTATTTTGATAATCGATTAATCTACCAATTATTTGAACGATTAATCGCCTAGTCATCGATTATTTCACTGATTAATCAGTAGACGTTGATTATTCAGCTTTTGCAATTAGTTAAAATATTTAGTTATACATATTCTAACAAATAAATAAAGGTAATCACTCCCGCTTAACTCAACAAGCCTAATCTCGGAATGGCAAGGGAAAAAAAGTCAGAATTTTGAAATATAAACTCAAAATGACCTTTTACATTTTTTATTGCATGGCTTCCATAGACTGCTACTTTAAAACTGTAATTTTCTGCCACCAGATAGACCCCGCCCACAAAGAAACATCACTGTCTGCAAACACCGAAATTGGTCTATATGAAAAAGTAACTGAATTACATCATTCTGCCTAACTTCTCCTTTTGTAAGTCATATGGATAAGAAACAAAATAAAGGTAAGTGATAAGACGTTTTATTTTTGGATAAACCATTTTATTTTCAACAATCTCTCTTAAAGAGGTCATATGATGCGATTTCAATTGTTCCTTTCTCTTTGAAGTGTTACAAGCTCTTGGTGCATAAAGAAGATCTGTAAAGTTGCAAAGACTAAAGTCTCAAATCCAAAGAGATATTCTTTATAAAAGTTAAGGGTCAGCCACGCCTACCTAAAACGGCTCGTTCTAACACGCCCCCACATGTCTACCTCGCGCAGTGGATCGCCGGATCGGCTTTCACCGTGGACGAAGCGGAGTCCAGCCCGTCTCGTCATTTGGTACCAGATTTCGATCCCTAAGGGGCTAATCTCATCAACGTCAGTGAGCCAATAAGCCTGCAGCACTAGGTGTGCTCAACTAGAAGCGGCGCGGCGCAGATCGATCAGTGTTTGACATCTGCGAGAGCGATTCGAAAGCGTACGGAGCAGTCTGCTCTCTGTAGCTCTCGTGGTACTGTAATACACCGATCGGTCTGCACAGTCGGTCCGCGTCACCGGTTACACTCAGAGATGTGGCGCACACGTGAGGCTGTAGTGTAAATGCGTCCCAGCCCCCTTAGATGTAATGCTACATTTACACTGGTGCGTTTTTGTTTTAAAATGAAAACGATCCTCGTCAAACTGGCGTTTCCTTACTGCGTTTCAAGCCAGCTTTCCACTATCTCCGACAAACGACAGACCAGAAGTCATTCTTTTCCAATGGAGAGTAGCGCGGGAGCTGCGTGGAGTTCCGATCAT